CAACAACGGAAACAGCTACACAATGAAAAATAGAAATGAAAATAATGCCTACAAGAAACACAAATCGCACACAACCACACCAAAATTTAACGCTTCATACCAGAAGTTCCTCAAAAGCGCCAACGGGACTTGAAAAGACACAGCAATAAAAAATAGAGTCAATGAGTCAAAGTGAGGCAAAAAAGAGTCAAAACATGTACATGATTCATTAATGCGGCAGGTGAGCTGCAGGTCCTTTCTCAGTTTGACGGTGACAGCATCACACACTGCGAAGGAAACACTGTATGAACACAGTATTTTCTTGCATGGTTTGCACGGGACTAAGCGCCGGCGGATTATGCTCGCGATATCATGGAATTATGCTTTCATGGATGCTCGCATTATGCTCGCAAATCTTCACATTATGCTTTGGAAAGGGAGATCATTATTCACTTTGTTGTTCTTATGGAGCCTCAAAGTTCGGAAAGGTAGGTGTTTTCGTACTTGCAAGTAGCGCATGGCCATACTCAGTACACACAAATAGAGTATCCTCGACCAAGGTGTCCATGCATGCCAGAGATCAACATAGAAAAGAGAAAACATTACATTACTTCTTATATTCATTAGTTGAAATATTTTGAAAAATATGTTTAATTGCCAAATTAGTTTGTAGAAGAAAAAAATGGACCAAGGGATTACAAGTCACGCTATAATGTCCACTCACACCAACAGTTACAAAACAATCAGCTCATAGTTTGAGTTACCTTTGGACATTGTCATGTTCAATTGTCTACGTACTCGTACCCGTCATAGTCGTCCAGTATGTCAACCTCACCCTGCGAAGAATTTACCCATCTCTCCCGCAGCTCCAACTCTCCTTCCATCATTGAGTGAACATCAGCCACTAAAAGCCACATATAAAACTAAGTGCTAACACTAACGAGTTAACGAGGAGAACTTTTTTTGTCGTTAAAATAGAAATCGTTATACAGAAATCGATACATATACTGTCCTATTGAGCGTTGAGAATGAGTGAGAATCGTTATCTTTATTATTATTATTATTACACGCATTTCCGCGGCAGCGTCTACCAAGCAGTTATGCTTGACCCACACGTTCGCTTATGCTGGACATTGAAACAGAGCAGATGCAGATATCTCCTAGAGAATGGGGCTCTACAAACCAATGATCGAAGTCAGTACTTCAGTAACATAGAGGAACACGGAGCGTCATAAAATTGGTGTCATTGGGGAAAACGTCATCATTATTGTCTCTTCATATAGCATCATGGTCAATGGGTGGCAAGACAATTATAATGTACGAGGTTGAGTTTCCAGATTGTTATTAAACGTAAGTTATGGTGGAAATGGTGGAGTGAACTGCAATTGCGCATTTTCACGCGTTCAGTGGCACCTCAAAGGGTTAAAGATTCAAATAGTAATTATTATAGAATGTTACAAAAAATGTATTATCTACGCATGCATCTACGCAAGAGTCACCACCAGCCAATTAGGACATATGTCAAAGTATTGAACATTTTCGTTCCCTTCTTGTCAAAATACTACAGGGAATGATGGAAATAAGCTAAAACACTACAACTACAAGGAAAAGAAGTTCAGAAATGTATTACTCCAATTATGGGTTGAAGTGACACGAAAAAAAGATGTGAAGAATGAAGAAAACATCATGCAAATCCAATAAGTGACAAAAACGTACTGACAAGAAAAAGAGAGAAATATCAAGAGATCAAGGGATCTATTTCGCAACTTCACGACGAACAGTGCCAAACAACTGCAAAGACAACACATTCTCCTTCTGAACACAAAGCTCAGGGTCCAACTTACGTATGTACAAAGCTTCCAACACGGCAAGATGTAACAAAGACCTACCACGCGACAAAACAGAGAATACATCATCGGAATACCACTCACGACAACTAGCACTGCCCGACAGGTGACACTTGATTGCCGAGGTACCGTTTCCCTGACCCGACGACTTGGCCGTTGTCACCTCCGATCCTGCCGCTTGCGAATCTCTCCCATTACGCCCTGCGTCCCTGCAAATCCGATTGCCTCGGTCGAGATCAGTGTGCTGCTCCACGTCCAGTCTGTCCTGCTTCCGTGGTCTACCTCGTTTCTTCACATTAACCGTTGTTGTCACTTCCAGTATTGGTTCTTTTGATTCGTCATCGATTCCTCTCCTCAATTGGCTTCTGGTGAGGAGACGAAACAAAATGGACGAGGAACACAATTCATTCCGGCAGCATTTCTAACCGTCAGCCAGCTTTCGAACAGATATTTCGAACAGCCGACAAAAGCGAAAGGCATGAAGCAACTTCTGGTACACCTTCTGAAATGGAAGATGAACTGGATTTTAGCGGTCAGCGGGTATGAGAAATGTGAATCGACTGTGAAATCATCTCCTCAGTTTGAAATGGACGCCTTAACTCCAGCCACAGCGTCAAATATTGGGATGTGTGCTGGAATGATACGTGGAATATAGAAGCAACCTGATGCGTGTGACATGACGGTTGGAAGCAGGCGTCCTATCCGACGAAATTCTGACTCTTTTAAGGCTATGGCTCAGAATCAGGATTCACGAAAGGGTTTTAAGTATAAGACGTCGCAAAGGTGTCCGTTTTGCCCAGAAGAGTTCAAAAGAGTATCTCAGCTCCGCGAGCATGAACGTGTTCACACTGGAGATCGACCGTTCAAGTGTGATGTATGCTAGAAGTCTTTCACTCAGTCAGGCAGTCTCCGCGCTCATAAACGTACTCACACTGGAGATCGACCATTCAAGTGTCATGTATGCGGCATGTCTTTCTCTCGGTCAAGCACTCTGTGTGTTCATGAACGTACTCATACCGGAGAGAGACCGCACAAGTGTAAGACATGTGGCACATCGTTCACGGATGGGTCATATATACGCAGGCATGAACGTATCCATTCTGCATAAAGACTTTTTACATGCAAGACATGTGTAAGGTCATCGACACAGTCATCCTAACTCATTCTAAGTATAAGACCTCGCAAAGGTGTCGGTTTTGCCCAAAAGAGTTCAAAAAGGTATCTCATCTCCGCGAGCATGAACGTGATCACACTGGAGATCGACCATTCAAGTGTGATGTATGCGGGAAGTCTTTCACTCAGTCATGCAGTCTCTGCGCTCACAAACGTACTCATACTGGAGATCGACAATTCAAGTGTGATATTTGCGGGAAGTTCTTCACTCAGTCAGGCAATCTACGTGTGCATAAACGTGTTCAAACTGGAGAGAGACGGCACAAGTGTAAGACATGTGGCACATCGTTCACGCATTCGTCTAGTTTACGCAGACTTGAACGTATCCATTCTGCATAAAGACCTTTTACGTGCAAGACATGTGTGAGGTCATCCACACAGTCATCCTAACTACATGATCATGAACGTATACATACAGGAGAACGTCCATATACATTTAGGCTCAGAGAGTGCTCAAAGTTCTTCAGAACATTATCATGTTATCCTAGACACCAGTGTATTTATAACCTACAATGAATAGCCTAAAAGTCGTTACATAGTGTTTTACTATTGTGTGAAAATGTCTTTCTTCTCTTCGGGCCTATGACTTTTAAGAACAAGAGAGAAAGAGTGTATGCGTGTCTGTTCGAAAGATAGTGTACATTCACAGCATTTAAAAAAAGAAATCACTCTTTCATGCTATTCACACAAGTCTGGTCCTAGCCACACACGCGATAAACTATGATTGTACAGAATCGCAATCTGATGTGGATTATGTAGTTCTGTATTTCTGTTCTCTTCCATCGTCTCGTTCTCATGCATTATGTCAGAAGTTAATAATCATATTCTAGCATAACCATCGATCAGAGAAAGTTTAATTAATTCAGATCGTAGAGTTGTGCGAAGCAATTGTTGACTTTTAAGAGAACATGTCTTAGACGACCAGACAATGTGTGCAAGTGGATCTCTCTGATTTCCATCAAATTTGTCAGGTATGTTTTCTTGGGGAGGGGAGGGGAGGGGGGTAGATCGACTGTTCAAATCCCTTGGAAAGGTGTCCGAAGGGAACTTTGAAATAGACATACCCCTAAACATTGGTCAAAACATCAAAATGATTTATGGGTTACCAAACGAGACATACAACAGCGTTTACGACCAACGAAGGAATCAAGCTCCATCAAGCTAACATTTTCTCACCTTGGAAAGGTGCATGACTGGGTCGGCTTCGCTTAGCCACGCAAGCATCCCAAAAGACGAGGACCTTCTCACCCTGTGGCCACTAATAGTCGTTTTCAAAAGAGCCAAATTTAAAGGGCGGACAAAATAGAGAGCTACGTCCTCATTTAGCAAGACCTATTCATTGGCAGATAGTCTTTTTTACTTTATTCTCCTTTTTAGTCGATATCATGGACTTAGGCAAATTTTGCATGTGTGGTATTCGATAAACAAACAACAAAAAAACAACAAGATAGTAGAACACCTCTTCTAGCAGTGAGCACATGTACCCAATCATCCCTTTTGCGTTTTCTTAAAAAACACCTTTTGAATTTTTCCACTCCACCATCTGAAATAAAGTGGACATCCAAATTCACACCTGCGCAGGAAAGCTCACCCCTCCGGTATGTCTAGTCGGCAATAGACCTTTTGCATTCTGAAAATTAATTTTTTGGTGAGTGCTAGATCCTTTAAGCGTGTCAGAATGGCAGTTCAGCGCGGAAGAACAACGTGTAGTGTTGACACTGATAAAGAACAGTAGGAGTGATCATTTATCACTTAACACGACAATATTCTCTCATAGTAACTAACATCCTTTTGTGCGACAATTCATGAAAACGTCCCAGATATCTTGGGATGGTGCCATCAAGTTGCCATGTACTTGATTTTGAGAGCATACTTATAATTGTCACGCATCGCAGACTGCCAGAATTATGGCAAACACATTTTTTAATGTCATCAACTAATATTGCTTTTCACACTAGAGCACGATATTAAATTGCACAGAGCAAACCATTCTGCATCAGTAATTTTCATTTCACTGCGTGAGGTGGCTACGAGTAATATTGCCTCGGGTATGCAATTTCCCTTCCAGAGTTGTTGCAGTTCAGTGAGAAATGGAATACTTGGAGGAGTCGATATCTGACTGCAGTGTGGATTTTAATGATCTACCACCAATGCCGCCATTGATGAAGTCGAAGAGGACTAAGCTCAACCGAACGTCCAGAGAGCATGGTCCATCGTCCGTTCCACCATCTCCTGCGTCAAACCTTTTTGAAGAAAACATGGAGAAAGCGTCGTGTATGAGATCCGCTTCACTGGAAAACAGACACGACACGAGCAGTATACCCCCTGAGTATACCAGTAGCACAATTCCTGTGTCTCCTCCGCCATTGATAAAATGGACAATTCCTTCAGCCAGTATTTCTAATCGTCAGCCAGCTTTCGAACAAGCATTTCAAACCGCCGACAAAAGCCAAAGGGATGAAGCAACGTCTAGTACACAGTCTGAAATGGAAGACGTGGTGAACTGGACTTCAACGTTCAGCGGGTATGAGAAACATGCATTGCCTGTGAAGCCACCTCTTCAGTTTGAAATGGATGGCTTAACTCCAGCCACCGCGTCAAATACTGGAGTTTTTGGTGGACGGACGCCTGACCTGTTGGAGCAAGCTGATGCGTTTGGCATGTCAGTTGAACGAAGGCGTCCTATCGGACCACATTCTGAATCTTCTAAGGTTATGGCTCAGAATCAGGATACGTACAGGCGTTCTAAGTGTAAGACATTCAAGACGTGTCAGTTTTGCCAAAAAGAGTTCAAGTACGTTTCTCTCCTCCGGGAGCATGAACGTGTTCATACTGGAGATCGACCATTCAAGTGTGATGTATGCGGGAAGTCTTTCAGTCAGTCAGGCAGTCTATGTGTTCATAAACGTACTCATACCGGAGAGAGACCGTACAAGTGTAAGAAATGTGGGACATCGTTCACAACATCGTCCCATTTACGCAGACATGAACGTATCCATTCTGCATGAAGACCTTTAACGTGCAAAACATGTGTGTGGTCATCGACACAATCATCCTAACTACATGACCATGAGCGTACTATTCATACAGGAGAACGTCCATATAGGTGCAGAGAGTGCGCAAATTTCTTCAGAACATCATCATGTTATCCTAGACACCAGTGTATTTATAACCTACAATAAATAGCCTAAAAGTCGTTAGATAGTGTTTTGTATGGGTGAAAATGCCTTTCTTCTCTTCGCATTTATGAATTGTATGACCAAGAGAGTAAGAGTGTGTGTGTGTGTGTCTGTTTGAAAGATATTATACATTCGCAGCATTTAATAAAGGAAATCACTCTTTGATGCTATTCACAGTCCGGTCCTAGCCGCACACGCGATAAACTATGGTAGTCCGGCGTCGCAATCTGATGTGGATTATGTAGTTCTGTATTTGTGTTCTATTCCATGGTCTCGTTCTCATGTATTATGTCAGAAGATAATAATCTTATTCTAGCATAACCTTCGATCTGAGAAAGTTTAATTCATTCAGATAGTAGATGAGTGCGAAGCGTTTTTGACTTTTAAGAGATCATGTCTTAGACGACCAGACAATGTGTGCAAGTGGATCTCTCTGATTTCCCTCAAATTTGGCAGGTATGTTTCCTTGGGGAGGGGGGGGGGTGTAGATCGACTGTACAAATTCCTTGAAAAGGTGTCCGAAGGGAAACTTGAAATGGACATACCTATAAACATTGCTCAAAGCATCACATGATTTATGGGTCTGCAAACGAGACGTGCGACAGCGTAAACGACCAAGCTACGAATAAAACTCCATCAAGCCAACATTGTGTCACTTTAAAAAAGTGCATGACTGGGGCAGCTCCGCTTAGCCATGCAAGCTTCCCAGAGTACGAGCGCCATCACACCCTGAGTCCACGGATGATCGTCTTCAAAAGAGCCAAAATTCAAAGGGCAAACAAAATAGAGAGCTACGTCCTCATTTAGCAAGAACTAATCATTGGCAGATAGTCTTTTATACAGATAATCTGAAACTCGGATGTTGAGCCATAAATAAATGTAAAAGAGAAAAGGACATATGGATACGAGTTAAGTTGGAAGGCTGTCGGTTAGCGCTACGGAGATGTGTTGAAGTTAGGTGTCAGGACGTCGAATGTCTCAGTACTCTGTCAGTTTTGTGCCTAGTTATTGCACTTTCTGACTGTATATAGTATCATGTTACAGTGATGGAGAGTTACTCTTAACTCGTATCCATATGTCCTTTTCTCTTTTACATACAGATAATCATTTATACTTTATTCTTCTTTCTAGTCGATAGGGGGATGCAATACGTACAGTGTACAGAGCGGATGCAGTTTTGAGAGCTCTGCATCCTTTTGTGAATGTGGTAGTTTTTGGATCCTTATAAAGCATATCTAGGGCGTGCCCTTATAACCTTACCACCAATCATGGCGAGCACTGGTAACTCGAGACCTCGATGGATGGCACTGACCTCGGAGCAGATGCGAGAGACGTCCGGGAAATTCGATTGCCCACTGGGGACCAAAGTGGTGGATGTCGCGAATGCACTGGGAGATGCTGGATACAACGACCTCACACCTGTTCAGATAAGTTCACAGCATGAGTGCATTGTAACCTTCATGTCCACTTCGAGTCTAGAGCGTGTTGTTCGGGAGGGCTTTTCTCTATTGGATAAGACTATTTTGGTTTCAAACGTGCTGGACTCGATCCTCCAGCTGCATATATCTGACCTCCCTGTCTGGATTTCGGACATTGCATTGACGGCCGCTCTCAAACCGTACGGTAGTCCCGCTTCAACAGTTCGATACGGGCAAGTCACCACAAAGCATGGCTTCGATGTTACAACCGGGGTACGCTTTTTAAGCTTCAAACTAGGGAAACAATGCCCCTCTATTCCATCCTACGTTCAAACGGCAGGGGGTCACGTCTTTGCCGTACGGTATAAGGATCAACCACGCACCTGTAGGGTATGCGAGTCCCCAGGTCACCTGGCCGCGGACTGCCCCACCAGGCCACGCACCCCTCGTGGAACGTACGCTAACAGGGTCAAATCGGGACCCCAGAAAGGGCGCGAGGATCAGCCACTGCCTTAAAGCCTAGCCTCTGCAGTCAAATCGGGACCCCAGGAGGTCATCGGTGCAGACAAAGCGCGCGAGGATCAGCCACAACACGAGAGCCTGGGCGCTTCTCCAGCTGGTCAGGTCGACTCGAGACCCCTGGAGGAGGGCACGGGTACACATGGCAGTCAAGACTCAGCTTCTGCCGTAACTGTCAAAATGCGACCTGAGCATGATAAACAAAGCAACCACGTGGAACTTGACCTGACTCTGTCTCCTGACAGCAGCTGGGCCGAGGAGTCGGACTGTCCACCTGAGGGGAAACTCTCAGGGGGCGATGAGGCTAGAGCATTGGCGATATTGGCAGACTGCATCCACAAGAGGCCGCGGGAGTCGACCTCCCCATTGGTAGTTTCTAGTGATAACCAGAGGAAGAAGAAGGCGAAAAAGATCACTGCCTCAAGCAATAAGCAGTTAACTTGGCGCAGATAACATCTTCTCCCCCTGTGTAGCCCTAGGTATACAAACACAATCTGGTTTTCCCTGTCCTACTTCAACCTCGTGTCTTCCTCCAGCTTCCTCATTCTTATCTTTAGCTTGATCCTTTTAGGTATTTCATTAGATTTTAGGACCCTTAGCCATACATGTAACTATGCACCCGCTTACGCCAAATGTCCTTCCCCATTTTTAATTACTTCCTCCTGCAATGAAGGGTAGCAAGCATCTTCGCATTCTCTGCACAAACGCTTTCGGCCTAGCCAGCAAACTTCCCGACCTACAGCACGCACTCCTGCAGCATCAGCCCGACGTAGCAATTGTGACAGAAACGAAGTTCACTGCGGAGAAAGTGCTTCCCTCTGACATTAGCTTCCCTGGATACAGCTCACCACTTCGGTTGGACAGAACGGCACATGGGGGAGGGGTAGCCATCTGGGTGAAGTCGTCACTCCCCTCCATACTCATCCCTGAACTCATGTCCCCCGCACATGAGATCATCTGGGTTTCTCTCCAGCTGGCCCCAGGTCTCCGCACCGTCTTGGGAGCAGTGTATCGGCCGGGGTCCTGTGCCCCTGGCGATCTTACCTTAATCGATCATCTCGACAACATCCTCCCAGAAGCTAGACACCAGGGCTCCCACATCATCCTAGCTGGCGATTTCAACGTGCACAACCGGGCTTGGCTGAACAGCTCGAAAACTAGGCCTGCAGGCGAGGCTCTCGAAGATACCTGCGCTGCCCATCTTCTTGTCCAGCATGTCACAGTACCGACTCGTGGAGACAACCCGCTAGATCTCATAATGTCAACGTTCACGTCCCCAGTAACTACACGTATACTTCCGCCCCTCGATCGATCTGACCATGCAGTTGTACTGTCAGACTTTTCTTCCGTGCTCCCTAGACATGAACCCCCTGTTAAGCGAACAGTATTTCGCTACAACAGGGCAGACTGGGATCGCCTCAGGGCGCACCTTCGCAACGTGGAATGGGGTGATATCATCACGGAGGACCGAGAAACTTCCTGTGAGCAGGTTACCGCTTCGATTACTGCGGCTGTTGCACAGTTTGTCCCATCCAAAGTCCTGGAAACGAAGCCTTCCGATCCGGTATGGTGGACGCCTGAATGCACCCAGACCGAGAGGGAGAAGGAGAAGCGCTGGCGCGACTGGAGAAAACACCCTTATGACCCAGCACTTCAGCAGGCATTCACCGATTCCGTGATCGCCACCCAGTTCCGATCACGACGTGCAAAGGAGGACAGCCTCCGTCGCAGCCTCTCAACTGGGTCCCTCAGAGACAAACAGTGGTGGACGAAGTTGAAGAACGCTGCTGGCAACCGCACACAGCCCGAAATTCCCCTAGTTGTCGACTCTGACGGCCGCGAGTGGGCAACGAGCTCAGAGAAAGCAGAGGCATTCGCTCGCTTCTTCTCGAAGAAAGGTAGCGTAGCCGGTCCGGACCTTGTGGAGGCTGACCTACCGGACCCTGCTCCCTCAGAGGCTCCACCTCTTCGCACCATCCGCTTCTGCCCACAGGCTGTACGCCGCCTCCTGGCAAGGCTCGACGTCTCCAAGGCTACCGGGCCTGACGGTATTTCTGCTCGTGTCCTTAAGGAATGTGCTCATGAGCTCGCAGAGCCACTGTCCAAGTTATTTGCTTTATGCTTCCGGTCTGGAGTGCAACCTAGGATGTGGAAGACGGCCAACGTGGTTCCGATCCACAAGCGGTCTTCCCGCTCAACCCTTAAGAACTACAGGCCCGTATCCTTACTGTGCATAATCTCGAAAGTAATGGAAACTCTTGTAAACAGACACACCGTAAACTATTTTGAAGACCATCATCTGCTCACGTCGCACCAGTTTGGATTTCGCAGAGGCCTCGGAACATCGGACGCTTTGCAAGCTCTCCAAACTGCCTGGGCAAGCGCTGTGGGCTGTGGAGGGGCGGCTCGTATCCTTGCTGTGGACATCGCAGGAGCGTTTGTTCGTGTCTCGCATGTCGGCCTCCTCCACAAGGTACGTAGCCTAGGCATAGATGGTCCGCTTCAGAGATGGCTGGCGTCGTACCTGGACACCCGTTCCCTTCAGTGCCTCGTTGGAGGGCGGACGTCATCTAGGTATACGACCTCCGCAGGAGTCCCCCAGGGAAGCATCCTTGGACCAACGCTTTTCCTGGCCTACGTCAACGACGTGCCAGATGTTCTCGCTGCCGGCGCCAGCTTGGAAGCCTATGCTGATGATACAACTTTGTACAGCTTAGTCACCTCCCAGCAGACCCCAACAGTCGCCGCGCAGTCACTGCAGGTGTCCGTTGACCGACTGCACGAGTGGGGTCGTACATGGAAAGTGATGTTTGAACCGACCAAATCCCAGGCTATGACAGCCACCCTCAGACGCACCGGCTTAGATCTCCCCCCACTCCTGTTTGGTGGCACACTGGTGCCCGAGACAACCACCATCACCCTCCTTGGTGTGAAGGAGGACGCCAAGTTGACCTTCAGCGATCACCTACGCTCCGTAGCCACCCGTGCACGCCAACGGCTTGGGGTCCTAAACAGAGCCGCCCACATACTCACCCCCGCCGGCCGGACGACCGTATACAAGGCGTTCGTACGACCAGTCATGGAGTATGCGCCTCTTGTATGGATGGGAGCTGCGCAGAGTCACCTCCAGCGTCTGAACAATGTTCAGCGCCGCGCGCTTCATGCTATCGGCCCTGGGTTACACCTACCCAGCCTGGCCATCCGCCGCACTGTTGCATCGCTTGGCTGCCTGTACAAGCTGCACTACTTGCCTGGTCCTCCGCAGCTGCTCTCTGTGTTGCCACCGCGCCACATCATCTCTACCAACCCCAGAACTCGCAGCGAGCACGGTGCTGTCAGTGGCCATGACCACCAGCTCCAACACCAGCTGCCTGCATCTGCCCCGCTGGCACTGAAGCGCTCGTTCCCACACTGCAGCATCAGCGATTGGAACTCCCTCCCTGC